TATCTCTAACAAACATTAAACATTGATACAGGTGGGTATGGATACAACTCAGCAGGTCACAACTCACACTGTAATGTTTCACTGGAGCAGCACTTCCCTCCCACTCAGCATTTAAAGACTGTGTCAAAGAGAAGTGAAAGCAGTACTCCAATACAACACTTTCCATCCGTTATTCTGATTGCCCTCTTCCCCCCATATTTCATAGGAAAGGGAAAGTAAAATATTTAAGAATCAGTCTTTTTTTCCCCATATAACTCAGGAGAATACAAAACAAGCGTAATATAAAACTAATGTTTAAAAATATACTATTTTCACATTGTTTAAAGTCCCATTCATGTGCAGCCCTGGGCCCATACAGTAACTTTCTTCACTTTCCTACAAAAGACCTCTCAAACACATTTGTCAGCACACTTTGAATCATTCCTTTCTGACATGTTGTCCAAAATGTTGTGTATGAGTGATACACATTTTTAAAGAAATCCAAGTCAAATCTGGAACTGAATCTGGCAGGGGATGCAAAAGAAGGGCTTCTCCACCTATGCTGCCCAGAAAAAGAAATCCAAAGAAGGTGTTGCCCCCTGATAAATAATACTGGAAAACTGTTAACAACTGATGAGAAGGGTGAGGTACTAAACAACTCTTTTGCCTCAGTCCTCAACAACAATCTCTCTTCCTGCACATCCTGAATGGATGGACAGCAGGATGGGGACTGGGGGAACAAAGCCCCTCACAATCCAAGACTGGGTTCATGATCACCTGAGGAACTTGAATGTGCACAAGTCCATGGGACTCAATGAGATGCATCACAGAGTCTTGAGTTGATTTAGTTGCCAAGACACTCTCCATGATATTGAAGTTATATTGGAGGTTGGGTGAAGCACCAGGTGATTGGAAAAGGGGAAGCATAGTACCCATCTTTAAAAAGGCCAGAAAGGAGGACCCTGGGAGCCACCATCCCGTCAGCCTCACCTCTGTGCCTGGGAAGATCACTGAACAGATCCTCTGAGAAGCTGTGCTAAGGCACATGGAAGACAGAGGTGATTTGACAGCCAGCACAGTTTCACCAAAGCAAAGTCCTGCCTGACCAGCCCAGTCGCCTTCTATGATGGGGTGGCCACATCAGTGGACAAGGAAAGAGTTACAGATGTCATTTATCTGGACTTCTGTAAAGCCTATGACGTGATCCCTCACAACACCCCCCTATGCAAATTGGAGAGATGGATTTGATGAGTGGACTGTTAGACGGATAACGAGTTGGTAGAAATGAGGGTAGAAATGCTGGTGTGGAAGCCACAGGAGTCATGTATGATGAGCACGGCTCTTGGACTCATACAAGTGCATAAACCTCCAACTGGACCTTTAGGAATCCCAGCCTTAATATTAATGGAGGCTATAGAGTGTCCTTGAGAAGTTTCACTGACTGGTTGTTGCTCTGTTTTGCTCTACCCTAAAATACACTTCTGACACCTGTAGCTGAAACCTCATTGCTGCTCCTCTTCACAGAAACATTCACTATCTGTCGAGAGATGTTTGTGAACTGAAAAATACAGAAAATATTGGGTCACCTGATCTGACACGATTCTTGGCTGTGCACAATGGCACAATTTGCCCCTTCCCTCCTTACTACCACATCCATACTCAGCAGATACATCTCCCTCCCTCACATACACCCTCCCAGGCACTGGTTCTGGAGTCCATGACTATGTGCTTTCCTGTCACTAGACAACCACACATGAAATCTGTTTTGGCCAGCAATTAGCACAGTAGCACTAAACAGATCATTTGACTGTGGCATGACTGCCTCCCTACATTCAGGCTGCATTTTTCTGTCCAATCCCTTGCACTGAGGCTCTATAAAAATATGAAAGGTTTGGGTCCCCCAACCCTTCCATTGCTTAGATTGTTTTGAGCACTCAGAAATCCTTAAGTTATTATGAACTCCCAGTTTTCTTGCATCGAACAACCATGAAGAGATATCACTAAAGAATCTCTGCTCCTGAAGTGCAATTATTTCACATTTTCAGTTCTGTTGTGCTCACTTGTACAGCAAAAGAGAACAATATCCTGACACAATTACTAAGGGATTCAAATGGGAATTTTATGCTTAATCAGATGCATTTCTTTACAGCCATATCCTCTATTTTGCTTTCTTAAAATACAGCATACAACAGCAAAAAGCATTCTCTGCCTCAGCCATCCCACCACACAAACAAGTCACAGAAGTCAGTTTTGACATAAGTGTCATCACAGTAGCAAAAAGTTTCATATTTAACATTTCACTCCTGCAAATGTGTCAGCAGCAGGAACATTGTTTTCTAATCAATGTGACTATCACTGGAACAATTAAAGCAAGACTAAATCCAAATTACACCGTCAACATTTCTTCCCCTAAAAATTCACTTCAGTCATTAAATGCATTCACCTTGAATTCACAGTTGAGAATTTGTCTTTGGGGAGATTTATAGCTATGACTCAGACCATCCTGCTCTCAATCCTTATAGTCAAAAAAATGTAGCTTTGGGTGTCCTAAAGAAAGCTGCCTATTGAAACAAAACACCAAGTTGATTTTGTGCTGGCATACAGCAAACCTTGCCTTATGCAGCATCACATAGCTTGAGTCAGCCAGACTACAGCATTACAGAGGTGGTACAATAGACTAGATTAGGAATCACTTATCTTTTTCATAATTCTGCAGTAAAATAGCTCCAGTGTGCTGAGCCCCTTCAAGGTATCTTGCACTTCAGTAACACTTTTGAGCTCAGATAATACAAAGAAGGTGATTTGCTGTCAGTGTGTTCAGCTGAGCCTCTCAATTTGATTCCAAGTACAGATACAGTATACAGATCCCTGAGCATGTGTTAGCAGAGCACACAGCAGAATACCCCAGTCTCTGCCACAGCCTTACACTTGCTACAATTAACATACAAGATTCTTCCATAAATATTTACTCAACTGGAACATCCTATAATTGATGACTCAATTTCTGCTCCTAGAAGAAAAAGCGTGTGTTTTGGTCTCACTCTCCCAAATGAAATCCAATTACTAATATCAAGCTTCTCCCTGCAGCATTCCTTCGGCCCTTGCACAAGCCTGAGAGAGAATAAAACCAAAAATTCAGCAAGGAGAAGGCCATACTTGATTTTGTGGACAATCCATTGTTTCCTGTTCATACAGAGCAGCATTCATGTTTATGCTTATTAACATAGAGCAGACCCACATCTCCAATTAAGTACCTGCTCACAAATTAGGGTCAAGTGGCCAACAGCCACCTCCATTTCCCTCCCTTAGCCCCCAAGAGGATGCCTTCTATGCCTTCTAGAACATGTTTAACAAACGAGAAATTATAGATCCACTTTTCTGTTGACTTTTTTCTCTAGGTGCTTTTTATACTCCCACCTGGTAACATGTAGCTCAAGTAAAACAGATTGTGTGTCTAACTTGTAATAACACAGACTGTACTGAGCCAATGAGCCAAAACAACACTCATATCTTACACTATTTCTAAAGAAAAGCAAAATTTTGCTAATTACTCCTGCCTTCACCACTCCTGCTACAGCTCCTGTACAATCAAAGTTACCACATGAAAGAGAGGAAAGGGCATAAAGTTGGTTTGATACGGATTGCTAAATGCTCAGGCAGAACCTAGTCTTCCTCACTTGAAATTAATGCTCTCCAAAATGAAAATGTGGGACAAATGCCAAGTAAACCAAAAGCCAACTATCAACAAACAGGAAAAAGAGTTAGGCGGAGGAAGGATGCAATGGGGAGAGAACATTTCACCACTTTTCAGAATACACCTCATGTTATATCCACACTTGCTCCCCACCCCGCCAAGAGAAGGAGGAGGGGTCACCCCAGCTGATCCGGCCTCACAAGGTGCCCAAGCTCAACATCGATTTTCACGGTGTTATTCCTGCTGCAACTCCCACCTTTAGTGTGCTCCAGATCCTTAGCAGGCACAGAAGTAGTTTTCTGGGAGAAAGGAGAGAAGCACAGACCCCTACCCCCATGCTTCCTCTTGCCTCCCCACTGGCCTAAGAGAAAGGTGCTCAAACTGCCCCTTGCCTCAGAGACTGCCCTCCCATCAGCTTCGGGACTCCACCCCAGGTACCCCCAGACCTCGGGGTAGCCCCGCTGACACCTCAAGGAGTACCTGTGCACCCCTTTACCTCAGGGAGCAACCCCTGCACGCCTCAGGGAGCACCTCTCAGTTCAGCACACAGAACAGCCCACATCTCAGCGAGCACGCCCCTGTGTGCATCCCACACCCCAAAAAGCAGACCCCCTTCACCTCAGAACACCCCTCACTTCAGGGGACACCCTCCTCCGCCTCAGCCCCCCTGGGAGCGCCGCCCCGAGGCCCCGCCGTACCTGCTGCGAAGGCAGCTCCACATGCAGGGCGCGGGCGGCGGAGCCGGGCGGTAACGCGGCGGGACTGGCAGCCGAGGTCATCCTCACGGAGGCTCCCCGCTCCGCTCCCCCGGGGCCGCCGGGCGCGCAGGGGTTAATGGCGGCAGCAGCGCCGAGCCGGCCGCCCGCTACGGAGCCATATTACCGCAGTGCCGGGGGGCGGGCCCAGCGCCGCCTGCCGCACGCCCATTGGCCGCCGCGCCGAAGGGGCGGGAGCTCACGCGGCTTCTCCGCCTGCGATTGGCTCAATCCCACGCAAATCAACGCCCCTCCGCGCCGGGCCTGTCAAACCGCAGGAACGCGCGACAGCGTCCATTACACCGCCCGCTTCCGGAAGGCGGGACCGGCTCTGAATCACGGGCGGTGATTGGAGGAGAGCGAGTTTGAGTGACAGCGCGCCCTCCGTCACGTGCGCGGTGGCTGTTGTCATCACGTGGCGGGACGGGAAATGGTTCAGCGGAGGGGCGGGGGGTGGTCACCATGGCAACCGGTGGGGCTGTCAGCATGGCGCCCGAGGGGCTGCGGGCCTGGGCCCCGCGCTCTGCCTCGCCAGTGCTGTCACCCTCAGCACCCCCTCAATATCCCTACCACCTGCTCAACATCATATCCACCTGCCCCCCAACACGCCACCCTGCACAGTGTCACATCCATCTAAGTCATAATTCAAAAAATGCCTTAGGCTCGTAAGAGATGGTACGGGGGCTGAGGGTCATGTTAGTTCTGGTGTGGGAGGCAAAGATGCAGTCTTTTCAGAATGTATGGAATTTCGAGACTCCGTTGTAAAGGGGGGTGAACAACTTCAGCAGCAGTCTCTTCAGATTTTAAAGAGCATTGAGCTTCTGCCATAGAAGGAGAGCAGGTATTCCCTGCAACCAACCTGCAAATTTTCTTGAGCCTTTAAGGTCTCAAAAATCACTCGCCAGCAAGGCATAATTTCTGCAGCTGCTTTACTTCCCTTGGTAACAAAATCCCATAGCTTAATTCCCGCTTTGTCCCACAGATCTGTTGTAAAGACTGTGGACTCGGTGATTCTTGGGATCTCAGAAGATGCCCATTGTAATAGGACTTTTAAGTCATGTGAGGGTACAGTTTTGTCGTGCTGTCAAAACAGCTTAGACAAAAGTTCAAAAACATCTCTTTCCTGGGCAGATATTCCCTGACCCATTGTCCCCTGCAGCAGTTGACCTCCTGTATCCCAGAGAGTATCTCACCTCCTTTATCCTGAAGGGGTTTGTCACTCTCCTGGTCCTCTCAGCAGCACTTGGCTCTGCAGGCTCATCCTCAGCCCCACAGCTGGGTGATCTCCTCTTCCTCACAACCAGGGCACCACTCCATGGCAACTGACTAAAGAGACGTGGACTCCATGGTTTGCACACATGAAGCCGTTTATTGATTCACAAAGTTGAGCTTATATACCTTTTCAGCAATTAGTAAAAATAGCAAAAGTATAACATTTATGTAATTAGGTAACATTGCTTAATTCAGAGCCTCGTACTAACTAACACAGGTATATGTTATCCCATGTAAGTTCTGCTTACCAAGCACATTGTACCAAGCACACTGCTAACTTCTGCATTCCTTCTTCAAGGTTCTGCTTTCTGTTGCCAAGGCTTGTGGCCTACTAAAGCTAACATATCCACTTCTGCCATGAGCTGGACAGCGCTCCCAGCTCAGCTTTCTGGCTGTGTTCCTACAAGGTCCTGCACATGGGTCAGCACAAACACAGACTGGGCAAAGAATGAACAGGGAGCAGCCCTGGGGAGAAGAATTTTTAGAGTGTTGATGGGTGAGAAGTTAAACAGGATTGACCATATGTGCTGAGAGCCCAGAAGCCTCCATGTGTCACTGTTGAGGCAGGGATTGAAAGAAAAGACTCCAGTGGTTCAGAAGGCAAGAGAAAAATCTTTATTACAGGAAGTAGCATTCTTTTTTATAACCAGGATCACTAAGGTGAAATATGATTTGTCTCAAAGTGAAAACCTTTCACGCCATTGGTGCACTATGGTAGAACATATCTATAAACAATATTAACAGAAAGAGAGTTAATAATTGTTTTAATTCCTTCTCCTAACTTTCCCAGGTTAGGCCTGGGAGAATTCCCTCTCTTTTCTCTCTGACTGAATTGAGCATATCCACACCCATGTGCTGGGCTGATCAGGTTCTGCCCCTCTGTTCTGCTCAGGTGAGACCCCACCTGCAGAGCTGCCTCCAGCTCTGGGGTCCAGCATCAGAAGGACATGGAGCTACTGGAGCAAGTTCAGAGGCGGCCATGGAGATGTTCTAAGGGCTGAAGCACCTCTGCTCTGCAGACAGGCTGGGAGAGCTGGGGCTGTCCAGCCTGGACAAGAGACGGCTCCAGGGAGACCTTAGACCCCCTGCCAGTGCCTAAAGGAGCTGCAAGAGAGAGGGACTTTGGACAAGGGCCTGGAATGACAGAATAATCCTAGTGGGTCCTTTCCAACTCAGAATATTCTGTGACTCTGTGAGTCTGTGACAAGGGGGAATGACATCACATTGACAGAAAGCAAGGTTAAATTTCAAAGAAATTTTTCCTGTGAGAGTGGTGAGGCACTGGCACAGGTTGCCCAGAGAAGCTGTGGCTGCCCCATCCCTGGAAGTGCTCAAGGCCTGGTTGGATGGGGCTTGGAGCAACCTGGTCTAGTAGAAAGTGTCTTTGCACATGGCAGAGGGCTGGAACAAGATGAGCTTTAAGGTCCCTTTCAATCTAAGCCAGTCTGTGGTTCTGTGATCTTCAATTTTCTTCAGATGAATTCAAGAGTCAAAAACATCACCAGATTACCGACTCTGTCTTGTGTTTATGTGTTGTCTAAACTCACACTAGCAGCTCCTCACTTTGACATTATGGAATACCAGATGGCATTTCTTCTGGACTATGTTTTTCTGGAAAGCAAAGCCAGAAGATAATTAAAATTACTACTAATAACATTTTAAAAAGCAATTTTAATAAAATCAGCTAAAGACTCCTGCAGAATGAAGTGTATTTTTGAAAAGACTCTGGAGTAAGCTAGATGAAGTGCCAGTGAGGAATTGCCAGGAATTACAGTAGAATTTTTAATTGCCATTTCTGGAAGCACTACTTTATCAGTAATCTTTTTCACTGAAGTTGAGATACATGGACTCATGTCCTTCAAAATTACCTACAGTGGAGAGATACTACCTGCAAGTTATTACAGATATTATTTGATAGACTTTATTGCAAATTTTGGCAGGATAGCACCTTTGGGAATGGAATAAATGACCTTGTGGCTAACAATAACTTGTACTTCTGCCACAGATCAGGTTAAATATGCTTCTTATTGGGGAAAGAGATCATTGCAAAATCACTCCAGTGAGACAATATACTTCACTGATGGGTAGAAGCACTCCAAATGCAGAGCAAAATACTTTAAGCTTGTGAACTGTTTAAAGAGAAAATGGGACAAATTCTGCATGGAATGTGTATTAAATAATGTAATTTACAGCCATAGATGTGAGGTTAAAAGAGTTTGTTTAGCTTTGCTTTGAGAGGGATCAATCTTAAGCAATAGCGATGAACACGAGACTGGTTTTGTGGGCATTGAACTTTGCACCTGTTTGTGTCCAAGGTATTTCTTAGGATCTGTATTTCTAGTTGCAGCTGAGTATGTTTGCTCCCTTCACAGAGGTTATTTTGAACTGCTGTGAGACACTTGCAGATACCTAAGGTGTTCTGGTAATCCCTAGGCATTGTATCAGAAGCTCACAGTGAAAAGCACAGTAAAGGTCAGATCTTTTTAATGTAGAGGCACTTGGTTTTAAATTAATAGTAATATAAGTCTTGAATGCAATAAACTGCAAGGGGAACTGTATTAATTTGCAACTGGCCATTGTTTGCACTTTACCATCATCACCAGCTACATAAATATTGGGGGTATTAAAAGCGATTTAATTAATTTTTCAGAAGTTTCCTGAGTGTCCCATTATAGATAAACCCCACCTCAAAGAGAGACATTTTATTGTGTTTTTGACACACCATCAAGCTGTTTAGGTCACATTATGTAGAATGTCTTTCAGTAGAAGACATTTTCAAGTCAGCTCATAACCATTAGATAATTTCCATGCAGGACACAGAAGAGGACTTCTGGTGCTTTGGAAGGCAAATGATGCTTAAAATATCTGTTACTCTCCTAGTGCTTAGAAGGGCTATTATTTACATGGAAAAAACTTCCTTCTCAGACTCAAACATGTATTTATTGTGAATGAGATAGGGCAAGTAGTGAAAGAACTAGAGCACAAGTGTGACAAGGAGCATCTGAGGGAGCTGGGGGACTCAGCCTGGAGAAAAGGAGGCTCGGGTGGGCCCTTCTCTCTCTCTCCAACTCGCTGATAGGAGGGTGGAGCCAGGTGGGAGTCAGGTTCTTCTCCCAGGGAACAAGGGACAGCACAAGAGGAAGTGAGTTCAAGTTGTGTGAGGGGAAGTTTAGGTTAGATATTGGGAAAATTTTTTCATGGAGATGGTCATCCAGCCCTGAAACAGTTTGTCTAGGACAGTGGTAGAGCCCACATCCATGGCAGGATTTAACAGATGTGTGCATGAGGATGTGGCACTTGGAGACATGAATTAGTGGTGGGCTGGGTAGTGCTGGGGGAATAGTTGGGCTCAGTGGTCTCAAAGGCTTTAGAACTTAAATGATTCTGTAATTCTATGACACTAAATACATTTTAAATGAGAAGGCAATTAAATGAAGGAGAACAGTACATGGGGTCCACCACACCCATCGACCTCAAAGTGGTTGCTGCCACTGGAGACTACATTAAAAGCCCATGCCAATCAGCCAGAAGATGCTTTCTGATTTCAGTGGGTAGCTCAAGGCCAAAGGCCTTCAAAGTGGTTCACAACCAAATAAGTGTCACAGCTGGTCTGTGGCTTGGCAATTGATTCAGCTATAAATAAGAAACCCAGCCTAGTTCCATAAACCAGTCCCTCAGTGAACAAAGATAGGCTACATTCAAACTCAAACAGGGACTTCACCCAATCACATTCCATCCTAAACTGCAGACATTGCACTGGTCAAAGAGCTGGGTGGTGTTAAAACCAGAATAATCAGCAGTTTAAACCGAGGTGTTTCAATCCCCCTGTATAAAGAGGATCGGAACAATAAAACTCGTTGTTGTTGCATGGATCTCTGAAAGTGCATCTGACCACCGACCCCACATAACAAATAGGCACTGGGACTCCAGGCTGCTGCAAGGACTGTCTTCCAAACAAGATGCAAAATTCTTAAGCTCCCATGTAAGTATAGTCATGAAATATCTCCTGGTACATTACCATAAGTCCCTGAAGAAAACTTATTTCTGAATTCTGCTTGAAATAAAGTCCCTCCCTTTACTGCATCTGCATTTTCATCTTGCAGAGGTGGTAATGTGATTTTATCACTTTATCTGGTGTGTCATGGTTGTGCTCTCCAGTCCAGAAGTGGTTGCATTTAATCTACGTGAAAAGTAAATCCTTCTTTGGAATATTTATAAAGACCTTTAAAGCTCTTTGAATGAAAAGTTTCTGCCAGATTAAAGCATTGATGAAAATGAAATATACATAAGAAGAGAAGAAATCAGTATACCCATTGTATTGGAACCTACTTGCTGTTAAGCCTTCCTAGGACAGCATTTGCACCAAAACTTTTTACTTTCATTGGCTATAAGCATCTCCCAGACAATATAATGCCATTATACCAAACCACCAAGACTTTCTTGATCTTTGATACTTACCAGGTATCATCTGTAGGTCATAATATTCTGACTGACTCTTCACTGATGAAACCTTTACATCTACTAAAAAGAATTTGGGATATCCAGACCTTCTGATGTGACAAGGAAGAAGAATGAGTGGGTTCTATGGTTGCTGATGGTATACAGCCTCTTTGCATAAAAGTATAGAATCACAGAATCATTTAGGTTAGAAAAGCTCCCAATGTATGATTAGCTAGAAGTGTGGATCTGATCTAAGAGGAATCAGGGAACCAGTATATAATAATCAGACCATGGATGGAGTTCAAATTCCCACCAGGCTTATACTATGGCTTTTTACAACCTGTTCAAACATCTTCACTCCAAGAACCCCATCTGAGAGAAAAAAAGATAACCACAAAGCAAAATAGAGAAATCCCTACATTTGCCCTTTTTCCTGCCCTTTCAGCTGCCTGATGTGGGATTCCCTTGAATCTCTGGCAGAAGCAGGCAAGAGAATGCCTATTTTTGTGATAGTATGGATTTTTCTTTAAATGGAAAAATTTATCTAAGCTGTTACCAAACAGAACCATTTTCAAGGGGATCATTTTATAGCACGAGGCTTTGAGAATGTGCACTGTAGAAAAATAATTTGTTATTCCTTGTGGTACTGCTGCTTGGGCTAAATTGACAAAAAGTTCATTCAGAGGGTAATGCATCCGTTTCTGGTTTCTGCCTCCTCAAAGAAGGCTGTTCTAGTCTGGGTGAGTGATTTCTTGGCATTGCTACTCGGCATTTCCCCAAAATGCTTGGGGGTTTGGTTACATTATCGTGGAGTTACTGACAGACACTTTATGGGGGCAGCACGTCCTCTCTGTTTTTTCAATCTCCTTCATTAGACCCAGGTCTGCTTCCACACTGAATAATAAAAAAAAGCTGTGTACACACTACAAACAACATTATTCTAATTATGCTATGCTAATTAACAAGGGGCTCAAAGCAAGGTGGTGATATCCCACCTTTATAGCTGGTGCTGTAGGAAATAATGCTTCCCTGCTTCATAGAGAGGGAAAAAACAGCTGAGTAAACCCACAGAATCATAAAGATTGGGAAAGAACCCTAAGAACATTGAATCCAACCATTCCATACCGAGCCCACTACTAACCCATGTCCCCAAATACCACATCTACACTTCTGTTGAGTCCCTCCAGTGTTGGAGACTCTGCCACTGCCCTTTGCAGCCTGTTCTAATGCCTAACTGCCCTTTCAGTGAAGGAATTTCCCCTAATATATTATGTAAACCTTCCCTGGTGCAGCTTAAGGTTGTTTCATCTTGTCCTGTCCTTTGTCCCCTGGGAGCCGAGCCCAACCTTCACCTGGCTTCACTCTCCTGTCAGGGAGCTGTAGAGAGTGATGAAGTCCCCATCAAGCTTCCTTTCCTCCACACTGAGCCCCACCCAGCTCCCTCAGCCACTTCTGGCACTCCAGCCCCTTCCCCAGCTGCATTCCCTTCTGTGGATATACTTCTGTCCCCTAATGTCCTTCTTGTCATGAAGGACTCAAAACTGAACCC